AGTGGCTCATGCCTGTAACCCCAGCACTTTGGGAGGCTGGGGTGGGTGGATCGCTTGAGGCCAGGAGTTCAAGACCAGCCTGGGGAAGATAGCAAGACCCCTATCTCTACCAAAAAAAAAACAAAAGTACAGAAATTAGATGAGCGTCATGATGTGTGCCAGTAGTTCCACCTACTCGGGAAGCTGAGGTGGGAGGATCACTTGTGCCCAGGAGTTTGAGGCTGCAGCGGGCTATGATCATACCACTGCACTCCAGCCTGGATGACACAGGGAGACCTTGTCTCTAAAAATAATAATTATCATTCAGTTTTTTAAAAAGCAAAAGAAAAAACCAGCAGATCAAGGCCAGGTTGGCTCTGACATACAAGGTGGTAGAAGGAAGGCTAAGAAGAGCACAGCTTAGTAAGGGTCCATATGGAGAGTTCTAGACAGTTTAGGCTGTGGGCAGTGGTGGTATGGGGGCAGGGGTCAGCACGGGGTAGGGTGTGGAAGAAAAAGCACCCGATGGGAAGGAAGAGGGGCTGATGAAAGGAAATGGAAGAGTAGCAAAGATACACTTCTTATAGCACTTATTCTCCTTCCTTTGGTTATATATGGATTTGGGTTGTTTAGGAACAGAACTTTGTCATATAGTAACAAAAATACTGTCTTGGAAATTAAGAAGATCCACCAACTAGCTTTGTGATTTTGGGCAAGTCATTTAACCTCTCTGAGCCTCAGTTTCCTTCTCTATAGTAAAAACCACATTGACTAGGGTTAAGGCACTGTTAAAGGTTCTTGACACATACTGTAATCATCACAGCAGCTCTGCAGGGACCTCTCATTTTTACAGATAAGGAAAATTTAGGTTCAGAGGGTGTAGTAACTTGCCCAAGAGTATGTAGCACATATTGGCAAAGCTTGGATTTGAACCCAGGTTAGTTGGACTTAAGGCCAAGGCTAATTTCCCTGGGCCCATAATAACCTATTGAGAAAAAGGCAAGGCCAGTGACCTTCAAGTTCCCTCGTCCTCTAAAATTCAGGCCTGTGACTATGCTGAATTCCAGACCCCTGATTAGGTCAGCTACTCTCTCTGAATATCATGTACATATTTTGAACAGTTCTAGCCAGCTGAGGTCCTGATGTTTATTCTATAGGAAGCTCAACACATTGTGGACCCTGAACACAATTTAAAAGCAGGGTCAGACAAATAGCATCCCTGGTCTTTGGGAAAGAATAAGGACTCCATCTCTGAGGGACATTCCATTCACATTCTAAATCCAGACTCACATTTAGAGCCATAAGGTGCAGGAAGAACTTACTCTTTTTCACACAGTGCAATTGCCTGGGCTAATTACTAATGGATATGTTTGGGTATTTGAGAAACTGAACATTGGCTTTTAGTTTCAGAAGGAATTTAGTCTATCCTTCTAGGCAATGGAATGATTATCATTCTCTAAAGATGATATCCATGTGGTATTATCCCAAATACTTGGCCATTTGCCACTATGAGATCCTGCTTGTATCCGATTATGGATCCAGTTTAACGCCACACCCACATACTGTCCACATAAATGAAAAGAACATTTTTCACAAAGACATTTGTCTTAGAAATGTGATTTTCTTTGTAGTGGTTATTTCTAAATTTTATTTATTTATTTATTTGAGAGACAGGGTCTCAATCTGTCACCCAGGCTGGAGTGCAGTGGTGTGATTATAGCTCACTGCAGCCTCAAACTCTTGGGCTCAAGCGATCCTCTCACCTCGGCCTTCCAAGTAGCTGGGACTACAGGTGTGCACCACCACACCCAGCTAGTATTTCTGAATTTCAGAATGCAACACTGGGTCTATCTTTTTTGCTTAACATCTGTGACCTACTAACATATGTAATCATCATCCTGCTTTCCTGTTTTTTGTTTTGGATTTAGAATTTTGCCTAAAGAACTGCTCCAGAAACTCTCAAAGTTATCTGATTAGCGATTACACTTTGCAAACGAAGAACATTTCCCAGCTAGTTAGTTAGAGCAAGATGCTAATAATTAGGCCACAGGTTTGGACTTTGTGTGGGCCAGTTAGTAAATACAGGCATCTTGCAAAGGTATGATTGTGACCCAAGAAGGACCAGGTGAGAATACAGTGTTTTGACAGAAATCCTTCTTGGCTAGAAGGAAAAAAAATTGCCTTAAAGTCAGTAATATCATATTGGGATTACAGCACGTCTTTAAAAAGGAAGGAAAGGGAGAGGGAGGAAGGGAAAAAGAAAGAAAGAGAGAGAGAGGAGAGGGAAGGGAAAAGAAGGAAGGAAGGGAAGGAGGGAGGAAGGAAAGAGAGAAAGGAAGGAGGAAGGAAAGAAGGGAGGGGAAAAGAAAAAGGAAAGAAAGAAGAAAGAAAGCCAACAAATAATAGTGGACAAGTTCACGGAGATAAATAATAAAGAATAACAGAAGGAGCCCGAACCTGAAGCATGGCGTGACCTTTAATCAGGGCTCTTATTCCTAGCCAGCTTGGAAGCAGCTTTGTCTTTACCTGCTCAATGGATCTCACAATGCTGATGCACGGCTTTAATTTGGGAAGCCTTTCTCTTGAGAGGCGTGTCTTTTCTTGCTCCAAGTCTAAAGTGCTCCCAAGTGTGGCGTTCTCTGTGACAGATGTACTACAGTTATGCTTTAGCTGACTGCAAACCCATAGCTTCCCAGTGCCTGAGTGGTCTGTTTGATGTCCAGGAGTGTGTTTCCTTTGAGAGCAGGTCTTTGCTGGAATATCCTCCAAGAAGGTAGAAAGGTGTCATCCCTTTGTTCTAAAACAGCCACTGATAAATTTCGCTCCCACTGCCATGCAAGCCTGTTCTTTCAGAAGGTCTAAAATGCATTTGCTGATGTACATAACCCTAGACCCACCCCATGGAAAGGCATTGTCTGAGAGAGGTGTGAGTCCTCTCCTTTCTCAACTTCTCCCAAGGTTGTCCCATTTTCATAGATGGCCCTAATTCCACATGTCTCACTGTGAATATAAGAAGTTTCAGAAATACTTGAGTATTGCCAAGGAGACAAGATTCTCTGGCAAATCTCCCATCCATAGCTTTGCTTCTTATAGAAGTCTCAGAGTCCTGTTGACTGCATCACACGTGACTGGCGGGACGAACCAGCTCCATACACATCCATCTGTGATTATTTTGCATGGCTATTTCTCACTGATGAAGCACTGTCATTCTTCTCTGAATTCTAATTCCTACTAGCAGAGACCGTTCCTGAAGGGAGGAAGAAATGTGGCCATAGAGGCCATTTCTGTTGGAACATGTGCCACTTGTTTTCCACCAGAAGTGGCAGCCTCTCCTGCCAGCACTGGTGGCTGCTGAAGGAGGCATTACTTCTCCAACTTTCTCTTGCCCATCCAAGAGAAGGAATTTATTTTCATCTACCAAGTAGCTTGCATTCTCTTCTGGCACCCTGATTAGATCAGAAAGGGATAGAAGCTTGGCGAGAAGACTTTTTCCCTCATTTTTATGCCTTATAACAACTCAAGTTAAAAGTACACAAAAAGCTCACTGCTGTTTAAAGCGTGCTTCTAAAGTAAAAGGAAATGTGCACTATTGGACTTAACACTTGTTTTTCAGCATTTTTACTTGAGATGGCAGTCTAATTAATTATTCCGCCCCCCAGGACCAGAGAAAAGAAAATGCGTGAATAATCTGATGTAGTAATACTCAACTCAGTGCTGTGGCATAATCGTTATGGATAAATTGCTGGGGGGGGTTTTCTTTTGGGTTTTTTGAAAACTCTTCAAAATGCAAAGAGCAATTATAACCCTACAGTTTGGTAAAGATGGGCTTATACATCTGAAAACACTGACATATTGAAAACAATCTATTCCTTACATCCCTAAGCAAGAAGAAACAATTATCACAGTAAATTAATACTGGGTTTACTGACGAGAACTCAGGGTCTGAAAATCTGTACGCTCCGTCTCCCCCAACCCCTCCAAGCCATTAGGAACATGTACATCATGGGCAGAGTGTCTATGTCTTCAGTAGAATAGGTTCTGAGAATTGAAATGTAGTGGATACAGAGTGGACATTGACACAACACAATTTCCCTTTCCTTTTTGTTAAGGAGGGGTGACATGTATTGCTATTGTCATCTAAACAACCTCTGATTTGATTTTTTAAATAGCATTTATTATTTTTAACATAGGAAGTGTAAAGAACAAAAAAAATTGCTCAGCATCCGATTCTTAGAAATTTGCCAAATACAAATAAAACTATTTTCGTAGCTTAAAATGTCAATACAGATGGGAACAAAATGAAAAGCAAATGCTCCCTTGGTTTTGTTATCAGATTTGTGATTCTAATCCACCTGGGACAGCCCCAGATATGTTCCTAAGAAGATACCAGACTTAAGAATAAAAGAACACATGTCAAGAGAACCCTAAGAATGACAAAGGTGATAACATATAACATAATGTTCCTTGTAAAAATGACCTCTGGATATTAAGAGAAGATGACAGAAGAACTATAAAATGCTAAAAAGTGATGTTCTTTTATGAAGTCAGAAACAACTTTTAACGGGCACATTTGAAGTTATCCAAAGGAATGCAAAGAAAGGCTTCACCCTGTTTTTCAGACTGGTGGATAAGTTATGATCACGGAATCAGCAACACGCTTCTCAGACCATGCATGCATGTGTAAAAATTAAATCACAGAGATTGGGGGTCAGGTGACTGTATCAAAGTAAACTAAATGTGTAACTTTTTATGACCAGTTTCCTTGAACAATTTTATAACACTTTTATAAAAATGTTAATAGATTTGAGTGATCTCTAAGATATCCATCTGGTAATGAGTTTTAATGATATATACTAGCGAGACCTTCATATTATGATATGTGTGTGTTAAATCAGTACTAGCATTCATATCTTCCCACCACTGAATGCTAAATGATAATGTGGTAGTGTGTGTCTTGACCACTCACTTAAAGGAGATCATAATATCTTTCACTTCTGAAATATATTCCTTTTTTTCCACAGGCCATGAAAGTGACACCACCTTCGAGAGCCCGGAAATCACTGTGGGATTATGACTTTTTAATTTATGATGGTGTCATAGACAATACAGCCCCAGACTTCTTAGCATTCAAGGAACATTTTAGCTTAGCTTGGGGAGGTATTTTTTCTCTCTTGGAACACGTTGAGAAGTTTCTCAGGAACTATGCAATACCAAAAGTCAAAATAAAAGGGAATAATTTGGTGGCCCTCCTTCCAGAGTTTGAGCTGAAGAATAAACTTACCAGATATGACCTTCTGTCAGTGTTAGAGGACCCAGCTCATGTCCAAATGCTGATAAATCTTCCAGGGCAAAGGTACAAGGGCCAAGATGGAAATTCGGAGGCCGCCATGAAGATCCAAGCCACATGGAAATGCTACAAAGCAAGAAAATTCTTCCTCATTTATCGCCAGCAGAAGTGGGCATCAGGTGTGATTGCCATTGCTTGGCTATTACATTGCCATAAGACTCGACTAAAGAAGATACTAAAGGAATCACGTCAGAGACACCTGGAGAATTTCCGCATTCGAGCCAAGGTGCACAAGGCTGCCAGCTGTTAAGGCAGACCTCTTTTTCTAAACATTTCGTGCTTGAGCGGTTGCAATAAGTTGTCTCTTTATCTTCCCTTTCAGTTTCTAACTACCCTCCTCGCCTCAGACTCCCTCGCCTTTCTCTCCCCTCAATGTATGATGCACAAACCCCACATTTGTTTGTGCATCATATTTTAGCCCTAATCAGGAATCTGGCTTTCGTGCCTGCAAAATCTGCTGCAATTTTTCTATAGGAAAAAAAAAAAAAAGTCCCTTCACTTTGACTGTGGTAGTTCTGTCAGAAAATCAATGTTTTAACTGCATTACTTTTTCTCCCTATATATACCTTCTGGCACTTTAATTTGCTCAGAAAAAAAAGATCCTCTCTTGTCTACATTGCTGTCACCACTTTGTCAGAAAGTATTTAAGTTTGCAGACAGCCTTTTAATTAGTGCTCACAATTTCATTTATGTTTGCTTTCTCTTTTTTTCATTCATATTCTGTTAATTAAGTGAGCTGCCTCTAATCTTCCCCTGCCAGTAGCATCATGTAGCCACCTAATTAAATTAATTGGGGAAGATGTTTTAAGTATGTAATTAAATCAATTAATATAATTTATGCCTGGCTTAACTGTACAGTGGAAAAACAGCTGAAGTTTGACTAGATGAATCCACTACAGCTTCCTGTCACTGATCAATGCTCTTCTTGATTTTTAGCATCTGGCAGCCAACTGGAATCGCATCAGGACCTCCAGGAGGACTATTATCCATATCCCATCATTAGGTATAACACTTTTGCCTGCAAATCTATCAGCAACCTCTATTACCCACCACATTATGGCTCCTTGATTGAGTTCAAGGAAGGCCCCTTGTTTTATTCAAATTGGTCTCGGCAGGAAAATGTTCTCGACATGATGAGAGTAATAACACAGGGCCCTCGCTCGAAACGGCGTTTAATTTGGGGATTAAGCAAATAAAGTCATTATGTGGGGGCTGCTATTCAGTGGAGAGGTGATTTGCTGTAATTCGCTTTCATCTGTATGAAATGAACTAAAAAGTTGTATTTTTCTCCCTGAAATAACAGATAATGTTTTCGATCTTCTTTAATGATAGAAGAATACAGGCTTGTATGTGTTGTTGCTGTTACGCCAATAAGCCAGGATATTGCTTGTACACTGTTTTTAATCAAATGTGCAGTCAAAATGATAAGCTACATTCTCTGAAATTATTTAGTTCTAATTACGAGCAGATGGGATGCTTTATTTGCACCTAGGGCGCCTGAGCAAAAGGAAATGCTGTGTGAACAAGAATAATTAAGAAGTTGAATAGTGTTTTTTGCGCTTAAATAATCTGCAGTTTCATGTTAATTAGCACTAATGTAATTATTTAATTACATTTATGAATTGGGGAACTTAAAAGCTGTTGTCTGAAACACACTGGTAAAAAAAGGTATGCCAAAATGACATTGGGAATTTCAGAAATTTGCATTGGAGTTTCTTTTAAAACATGAGCTACTGTTAACATGTTTGGGATTTGTTTGCTTCCTTATTTTGTTTTGTTTTGTTTTGCATCTCACTAGTGTGTTAAACTTCCTTGGTGAGGTCAGATTTCCTAAGCTGACTTGCTAGAGTTTTGACAAGCAGCACAACCCATTGAATCTCTTTGTTACATCCATATTAGCTCTTTGTTAAAGTCTTTTAAGTAGAGCAATGCATTAAGTGATCTGTTGTAATAGAATTCTGGATTGCAATTTATTCATATTCATATGTGAGTATAACCAGTTTGTGTACTTATGTGTAGTGTAGAAACATAACACATTTGAACAGTAATATGAAAAGAAAAAAACATTTAAATTATTATACAAATAAAATTATTTTTAAATTAGTAAAATATCAATAATAAAATAAGGCAATCTTTTCTAGATTCTGGAGTACTTAGATCTAAGTACTTACAGAAAGTTAAGAAAATACTTGCATTGCACAGAGCCTTTTAGTTTTGGTCTTCTTCATGGCTCATGAAAGAAATTTGTTTCTTAGGATCTGAGTGAGATAAGACAGATGTGAATTTCATTCTAAGTTGGGCTTTTGTTTTGGTGAGACTACTTGTACACACAAGATTATTTCACACACAGAAATTGCACTTGTAATTGATTGCAACCAAAGAGGCTAATTGCAGACCCAATTAGTTGACTTGAGCCCTTCGAATAAGGTGCAAGAGCCTTTGCTTCTGCAACTAATTGTGGACCAGACCTGATATTATACGGGAAATTTTGTTTTGCTTTCTCTATACAGGGCCCCCACTTTGCAAAGTTGCTTAGCACAAAGATGTGATAGACACAAACTTCTTTACTCCTACACTCCCACCTCTGACCCTCCTAAAAACTTCCATGCAGTCTGCTCTGCAGAGAAGCTTGATACAAAAGAGTCTCCAAAGAAGGAAAAATTTGAAAGTAAGCATTATGTAAACTGGGTAATAAAAAAAATTTGAGCGAATCTATCTTAAAATTTCAAAAGAGCTTACTGAATATAAATTAAGTGGGAGTTCCCAGCACTTTGGGAGGATTGCTTGAGGCCAGCAGTTCAAGACTAGGCTGAACAACATAGTGAGACCCTGTTTAAAAAAATTTCAAAAATGGGCCAGGCATGGTGGCGCAGGCCTGTAGTCCTGCTGGGAAGGCTAAGGCGGGAAGATCACTTGAACCCAGGAGTTCGAGATTACAGTGGGCTATGATCATCCCTCTGCATTCCAGCCTGGGTGACAGAGACACTGTCTCTAAAAAAATTAATAAAATAAAATAAATTAAGTGGGAGAATAATCTGGCCAAAGAATCTAGAAATAGAAAACATTATTTTAAATATGATATTAAAACTAGTTTTCTTCTGGATTACACATATTCAGTTTAAATAAATATATAATAAATATGAAGGTCTTCCCTAATGTAGCAATTTTTGTTTGTTGCCAACATGATACCCATTGTAAAGAAAAGCTGCTAATTGTGTAATTTCTAAGAGATAAGAACAAGCTCAGAGTTTTTCTCAACTGAGCATTTTACAAGACTAATTGCACACTTTCAAAAGAGAATAATACCTGGGCTTTGATCATATAGTAGTTGTTTCTACAATATGTTTTGGATTTTTTTTTTTTTTTTT